GAATGTAATGGATTCAAGTGGAATTCGTGCTCAGCTCTCCAATTCAGTTATGTGCCATGCGTGACACACGTTTAGGCGATCAAGTATCTTTCGATACATGACTGACGAGACAAATTTTTTCTGCAGTAGGTTGCCATTTCTATCTGCGGTAGACCAGTTGCCATCAAAGGCTATAGAACTCGGTCTGTCCTGCTATTTACCCATATCTGGGGTGAGAAGAAGAGGATTCATACCTTTTGCAAGGGTATTATCAAGTAAGTGAATGTAATGGATTCAAGTGGAATTCGTGCTCAGCTCTCCAATTCAGTTATGTGCCATGCGTGACACACGTTTAGGCGATCAAGTATCTTTCGATACATGACTGACGAGACAAATTTTTTTTTCTGCAGTAGGTTGCCATTTCTATCTGCGGTAGACCAGTTGCCATTAAAGGCTATAGAACTCGGTCTGTCCTGCTATTTACCCATATCTGGGGTGAGAAGAAGAGGATTCATACCTTTTGCAGGGTATTAGAACGTAAGTGAATGTAATGGATTCAAGTGGAATTCGTGCTCAGCTCTCCAATTCAGTTATGTGCCATGCGTGACACACGTTTAGGCGATCAAGTATCTTTCGATACATGACTGACGAGGCAGATTTTTTTCCCGCAGTAGGTTGCCATTTCTCTCTGCGGTAGACCAAGGCTATAGAACTGTCCTTCTATTTACCCATAGATGGGGGGGGAAGAAGAATTCATACTTTTGACAAGAGTATTAACACGTAAGTGAATATAATGGATTTTGATTGGAATTTTACGATCCCTTAGTCCGAGCCGCTATCCATTACTCCACCGTGCCTCTTGTATTAGATTTAGGTTTGTTATTTATGCAACGATACACATTACACACTACACAAATTAGAACTAATAGGCATTAAAGCGTATTATACATTAATGCATATAATATTTGTGTTCGCCGTATTTGTATTAATGCGTATTTGATGCCATTGCGTATTATACAGTGATATATACTTTACGCTTATGCTTATTCCAGTTTTTCATTTTCGGTAAAAAATTTTCTGGGTTGCTGAAAGTAGTTTTGATATTGCGATCAAATCTCCATTTTTGCACAGTTTCTAAAGGATTGTCGTCCCTACCCTTTCATGACTACGTTTGTATATCTTCATGGGGCCAATTTTCTATATAATATAAATGATAGTTTCGTATATTAGTTTACGCATATTTTTTTCTCTAGCTAAGCTTTAATATGTTGAATTCTAATATTCTTGTTCCCGTATGCCATTAATACATATTCCATTTTTCTCTTCAGGTGTTCTTTGCGCATCCATTCTTGTTTTTTTTAATTTCTTACTCACATCTCTCTTTGTCTTGTGTATTTCTCAAATTCTTTGATTGCTCAGCTAATAAAATCTTCAGTATGGTCGAGTCTTTTCCCACTTTTATTTTCACATGCAATCTTTCATTATTATTATGATTGTTATTGTTATTATGCCTTCGCATGACTTTTTTATTATTATTATGATTTTGTTTTAGAAAACGAATAAAACATTAAATTAAAAATCTCCAAGTTATTCTGTTCCCACTGGAATCGTCTAGTCTGGTGCTATTTTCAATCTCGCAAATCGAAGACAACCAAGTTTGAAACTGATTCTTTTCGATATCGTCTTCATCGGTTGAGAACAAGATAATATCGAGGGGCGGGAAATTTTGGCGCCAACATGTACAGGTTTGGGGCGGGAAAGAACGAGAAAGAAAGAAAAAAGCAATTGAAAGATTTCTTATTTAATTTATTTCAAAAGACATCGCCAAAAAAGAAAATGGTGCCGAAAGAGTTAAAAAAAAAAGAAATGGTTAAAGAAAGAAAAAGTTCATATGAGCCATGCATCAAATTCCATGACAGGCTCTTTTACTATTGACTAAGGTGAGCTTCATCATCGCAAGGTCAAATGGCTATAAATAGAAATAAAAGATTGTGATTCCAGATCAGGAGGGTGTGGCTGCCTTAAAAAATAAACATTCCAAATACACCGCTTTTGCCTGGGTACCATTTAGAATCAAATATATCAGTCATGAATCATGTCACTATGGATATCGGTGAAATGAGTGAGCACTAAAAACCATCTCCTAAGACCCTAACCTGTCCTGCCAGTAGCAGCAAAAACAGTTACCCTCATTGTCAAATTTAAAATATATAGGCACGGTGGAGTAATGGATAGCCTCTTGAATTGAGAAATCGGAGAGCTGAGTTCGAATCCCAATCGAATCCATTACATTCGCTTTGTGAATGTAATGGATTCGTGCTAATACCCTTGGGAAAGGTGTGAATCATCATCTTCTCCTTCCAGCTATGGGTAAATAGCAGGACAGACTGGGTTCTATAGCCTTGGATGGCAACTGGTCTAGGAGAAGGATAACTCTGAATTCAAAACCTGCGGAGCGTCGTTTGGGGACCTTGTGGCATTCGGTGCACCAGGTCTCTGTATTCGTCCCTTCAAAAAGTGTGGATGGTCCTGCACGAAACCTTCACCACTATAATCAAATATGTGCTATTGTCGAGCTGTCAGTTTCCTAGGAACTGATCTGCTTGACCCTCATACGTCGAATTCGACGTGAGAGTCACTATATATATATATATATATATATATATATATATATATATATATATATATATATATATATACCTTCTTTTTCGAGACAGTGAATGTAGAATTACTCACAAGTTGATTGCTTGCTTGCATGAATTTTCGCCTAATTTTTAAGGATGATTGTAAGTGCTATTTTAAAAAGTGTTCAAAAGTATATATAGTCTACATTTCCAAATATGGCTAATATATAGTAGTTGTGTGCATCATTAATGTTATTAAGAGTTGCTTTCTTCATTGTTTATAACAACAATCTCGATCACTTTATACTCTTTTAAATTAAGAGTGGATATATATATGTTCCTGGAAAATTTATTTCGGTTGAGCTCTCTGGGAATGAAGCGTGGGTTTGTAAACAGTGACTATTACTGCTAATAATGCAAGACTCTTCGATAAATCGAATCGAATTCTCTCAGTCATTGTGTGTCTATCTAAAAATAAATGCGCTTAAAGTCACCTTTATCCCTGCTGTGCGCCAACGGCTTAGTGGTAGAATCCCCGGATGACTATATATATATATATATATATATATATATATATATATATATATATATATATATATATATATATATATATATATATATATATAAAAAGAAAAGAACAGTAAGATATATAATCCGGTGTTCTTATAGATATTTTTTTTTTTACAAAATAGTGCTGAATGTAAATTTACAAAGCATTAAAATTATAAATTAATTGATTTAAAATATGGTTTTGTCCGCTACACAGTTCTAACCATGATTCAAAAATAGAAACTAAAAGCCCCGAATTTAATTTTGTAATTAAATTACAAAATTAAATTCGGGGCTTTTAGCTTCCATTTTTGAAACATGGTTAGAACTGTGTAGCGGAGAAAAACATATTTTAAATCAATTAATTTATAATATATATATATATATATATCATAATAAAGTAATTCTTCGCGTCTAGAAGAAACCTCAACAGAATTCAGAAAGCACTGGACGCCCGTTTCATCCTATATTTTGGACTCATGCACTACAGAGAATTGAAACCCGAACATTTACGATATGAGGTCATAGCAACTGAACGGGTAACGAAGAGGTAACTAATTAGACACGATATAGCGCCGCTCGTTCACATATTCCGTGGTGAAAGTCCTCCGAGTTTCCCTTACCCATAGGACTGTGCCCATCAATAGTCACGACTATTATCCCTTATCCCTTATAAGGCGGGAATGCCACCCGTACGCAGAGGCTTATATTCAGTGAAAAGACTTGGTATAGGAGGGATTGAGGAAAAGATAAAAGATGGATGAGATCCAAGAAAACAGAAGATGGTGATTGACGTTTCAATTAATTTTTTTTGAAGATTGTAGTTTTCAGGGAAGCAAATAAACAAAAGGAACTTCCACAGGCGGGAAGTACGAGGAAAGAAACTGTTGGAAAAGAAGTGGCGGTTGCATTTAACTATTTAAATAGTAAAAGTGGGGGTAGGACATAGATGCCAATCTAGAAGTGTGCTTAAATTCATGTAGCCGTGGCCCCAGGGAAAAAAGCTCGTCAGAACAGTTGCCATGAAAATATTTGCAGAAAAGACAGAGGGATGCCACATCACGTCCGTGAGAAAGTGACTGAAGTCTAGATGCCAAGTCATCATCGATTTCATTGCAGATCTTTCTTTCGATTCTGTTAAGAACCTTGAGATGAATAATAACAGGAGGCCCAATGACCTTTCTTTACAGTAGATGCAGCTATTGATTCAATTCCACTTCAAGTCATTTGAAAACGTGAGGCCTAGATGGCGCAGTGTGTTGTTCTTCAGGAGTCTAATATCAGCCATGATGATGGCGGACAGGAAACTTTCTCTATGATGGTTAAATTTGAGCAGTTTTGTTTTGAAGACATTAAAATTTACATGCCGTTTCCTGCCCCAATGACTGGAGGTCCTTTTCAGGAGAAATGGTCAGGTTAATTTTGTCAGCTCTGACGTATTTGATACTGAGACAGGAGTAAATGGTAGTGTCATCTGCATAAATGCCTACTTGGGAATTGATAACATCAAGAAGATCATTGATGAAGATCGTAAAAAGCGTAGGACCCAGGATAGAACCTGGGAGACACCCGCGTTCGTATGAAAAGATCTGGAAGCGAGCCCGTTCAAAACGACCTTCATTTCACGATTTGATAGGAACGATTAGATTAAAGCAAATAATCTCACTCTCTCTCTCTCTCTCTCTATATATATATATATATATATATATATATATATATATATATATACACACACACAGAGTGAGAGATTATGTAGATTGCAGTATAAGCTTCCTGTTGACAGCGAATATCTTACAACAGACTCTCTTCTCCTTTACATAAGCCAAACAGAATATTTTTTCGCTTACTGCCACATCACGTTGAAACATCGGTTCCTGTACAATCACCGAAGTTAAGCAACATCGAGTTTGGTCAGTACCTAGATGAATGACCTCTTGGGAATACTAGGTGAAGTAAACTTGGATGTGCGAATGGTGTAATGGATAATGGCTCAGAATTGTTAATCGTAGAACCGAGTTCTAATTCCAGTTGGGTTCCTTATATTCACTTATACGCAACTTCTGTTTGGAAATGTATGAATCTACCTCTTTTTCCCCATCTATGGGTTAATTAGTAAGGCTTGTATCGCTAAAACCATTATTATCGGAAAACAACCCCCACCCACCCCCAAAAATGAAATAATGAAGTTGTGTACAAAATACCTAGACTTTGACATTATTTAACCAATAGGGGTTAATTGTCTGCTAAAGAAAACAACAACATCAAGATATTTTCATCAAAATACCTGGTGATGGGGAGGGTGGAGTAACGAGGGATAAATTCATGTTTATTCCAACAACATAAGCCCTAAGTGAACAGAAGAATCCTCGATCCAAATTGGATCTCGCTTTGCCGTTTTCATTCTCGCAAAAACAACGCCCTCCCCTCATACACATGCACGCACACTCATACATACACACGAACATTTTTAATTCTTACATATATATATATATGTGTGTGTGTGTGTGTGTGTGTGTGTGTGTGTGGATTTGTGTGTGTGTGTGTTTCGTTAAATATGGCGGACGAGAAAGTAAGATTTTCATACAAATTCTTTTCCTAACAGTTTTCTTAACAATTTTATTAGGATACAAGAAAATTAAATATAAAACTTGGAATATATTCTTCGTCAGTCATAAATAACAAAATGTGCATAAAAGAAGGACTGCTACCGAAATACACACACACACACATATATATATATATATATATATATATATATATATATATATAATTTTCTATGTGCAGTACTTAGTGGAAAGCGTTTATCAGTGATAAAGCTAACATATTCAGTTGTGTGGATATGAGTTTGTGACTCTGGGTTTCACGCTTTTGCGATAATGATGATCGCAAAAGCATGAAATCCAGGATCACAAACACATATCCACACAACGATAGATAGATAGATAGATATCATTGATTTATGTGAGTCGCTGCTAACTAAACAGGTACACAGACATATTTCTGGGATAGCAAGACTGATGAATTTAAATGAAATGTGATTCTATTTAGCATTTCATAATAAAATTAATGGTACCAGAATGTCTACCAATATTTATTCCGAGATTTCTCAAATGGAAACGCTTAAGATTCAAGCCTTTTATCTAATTATGCGAATTATTAAAAAAAAAAATAAATATCTTTCTATAACTATATATATATATATATATATATATATATATATATATATATATATATATAAAAGTGCGTAGGTAGGTATGCAAAAATAGAAAAGAACACGTTGGGTGCATAATCCGGGTTTCCTTAGTATTTTTTTTTTTTTTATTTTTTAAGAAGACAGTGCTCCATACAGAAGTAGAGCTTATATTATATAATATTTTTTGTTTAAAAATATGTAGCGAAGGAATCATATTTTTAAACAAAAAATATTATTATAATATATATATATATATATATATATATATATATATATATATATACGGTAAAAAATGATATATAATCCAAATCAAAGTGGTTCCTAGTAATATGAAATATTAGAAATTAGAACTGATCCACAAAAAAAGATGTCGATGTATTTTATTTAATTTATACAGATCATTATAATTAAAAATCAAAAATCCTTTTACCACATATGGAGAATAGGCTATTTCGACAGACGACGTCTGTGGTCATCTATCTTTTCAACCCCCGTGTGGGCACGTAAGATTAGAGGAAGCAGGAGATAGTAGGAGTTAACACCTGCATTCTCTAACATTGTTTGACTATTAATTACACACACACACACACACATATATATATATATATATATATATATATATATATATATATATATATAAACACACACACACACATATATATATATATATATATATATATATATTTCTAATATATATATACTTAAATTCTAACACATATATATATATATATATATATATATATATATATATATATATATACTGTGTGTATTTAGGCAGCATTTTTTTCATTGATGCTTGTTTCATTAAAAAATATAGACAAGTGTTGTCTGTTTATTCTATGTAAATTCTTTTCATAACGTCTGATAAGCTTAATAACATTATCATTAAACGAAGAAAGAAAATCACAATGCTGATCCATATTTTTAATCTTATCTAAGCTTTTGGCTTACATAAGCCATTATCAAAGATGACAATTACATTACAATATATTAAACAATACACGGGCAAAACAATAATGATAGTTTTTGTTCACTTGGAATTTAATTTTTGCTAGGATCTGTTGTAGATATATTAGTATTTACTAATTTTTTTAGTATATTTTCATCTTGTTTATAATTAGTATGCATTTGACTACGATATAGGAGATTAATATGTTTGAGATTAGTATTAAGACTTCTAAGAAAGCATTTTATTTGTTCATCAACTATATAGTTTGGAAAGCTATTATTAATAAAGTGTTTGTTTTATATTCTTTAGTTCACTGTAAAAAATCTGTTTTGTGGATTAAACTAATTCATCCACAAAACAGATTTTTGAAAAGAATTTACATAAAATAAATAGACAAAACTTGCCTATATTATTTAATGAAACATGCATCAATATATATATATATATATATATATATATATAGGCGCGTATGTGTGTGTGTCCACAAATATGGTACAGAGAGATCAACTGATTGGTAGATATCATTACCGTGAGATAGATATGATGTGGGAGTTCAACAAAATAGAATAGATATTAAATCAAAGGGATGTGTGGCTGGTGTAATGGATAGCGTCTCGGAATGGGAAATAGTCGAGTTCGACTTCCAGTCGTGTACGTTATGTTCGTTTATGTGCAATATCCTTGAGAATGCTATGAATACCTTCGTCTCCATTTAGCTATGGGTTAAATTTTAAGACATACTTTAGCCTTTCTTTGGAAACCAGTCTATTAAAAAGAAAACTCTGAATTCTAATCCTGAGGAGAGTCGTTTGAGGACTTTGTGGCACACCATATGCAACTGTTCTCTGTGTTTGGTTCTGAATAAGAACCAAACACAGAGAACAGTGTGAACGATATAATGACAAAAAGCATACAGGTAGAAAAAGCATACAAGAGAAATTATATTATATAAAATGGGAGAAAGAAAGAAAGATGACAAAATAAAAAGAAAGATTAGAAATAAAACGAAAGATGGGAAGTAAACAGAAAGAAGGAAGAAAAGAAAAGAAAGAAAGAACGGCGTTTATTCGGCGTGTTTTTCCTCATCACCATTTCATAGTATAATTATTTTGGCTATTGGGGAACAATAGGACTATTGCGAATTTTCTAAGAACGCAACCGAATCATTATGGATTTGAAAGTCTTCGTTTCTATCGAACTAAGATGTCATAAAGATCGATAAAGAGATCGAAAGAAAGATATATTTCTTGCTATAATTTGATTGATATGTTTCCATGGAAATTAATCATGTAGCGCGTTCTACAGAAGTCAATAAAATTATCTACAAGTCCACAGAAAGGATTATATATATATATATATTGCCACCAGCCCTCGTACCAAAGAGGGCAAACTCTGACTTCAAAAGCCCTTGTGTATATTGTGGTCCACCACACACTACCCAATGTATTTAAGGTCCCGGGGAGGTCAAACTCCGTGATGATATATTATGCGATCATCACAAACGCCTAACGGAAGGCACACAGTATGGGTTATGTTGTTTTGATGGAGAAAGTGTACTTTGTGCCACACAAGCAACTGACCACTTTAAACAAATCTTAGTGCAGGTTGATCACTAGCTGGATGGCTAATAGTTCAACACAAATACATGCAGGACAGAAATCCCATGGCGAGGAAGAGATAGTGATGGTGTGGACGATGTCACTGGAAGTCTTTAGTTTGAATTTGTTGCACTTATTTAGGCAATGCTTTCAAGAAGGGTCAATAAAAGGCGACCTAAAATTGCATGACCCTGTCATGGGTGGTCCAAATTGAGGGTAGACCAAAGGGAGTGGGGATTTTGACTAAAGGGGAGTTTTTATATGGGGAAAGTAAGTTGGCACCCCCACCAAAGAACTCGGCTTTTACTTGTGCAGCACAAAATCAGACATTGTTGCACTTCATATCCTCCTCTCATAACACAACAGCCCTATTTAGGCAATGCTTTCCTCTTATGAAGAAGGGTCAATAAAAGGCGACCTAAAAATTGCATGACCCTGTCATAAGATGCGCACGCCTGAGCATCCAAATTGAGCACAGGAAATTTTCAGAAAATCAAACCATGAATTTCCACGTGTGTGTCAACTTGTCACCATTTTGAATTCAGAATTGCTGCATTGATCTCCCAGACCAAAGGGGGGTCTCCTTCCTCATATGTGGTCATTTGTATTTTGAGTTATCGTTCTTTTTATATGGGGGGTCTCAAAGTAAGTTTGGCATGTTATATGGACCCCCTTTGTAAAACCCCTTCACATAACTCTGTTTTCTGGAGTGTTTGCTTTTCCCACTGTACCCGCCTATCCCAGTTTTTTTTTGCTGCTGCCACTTCGTTGGTTGTCTTAAGTATCAATGTATTAATTGTGGAAAGTTTTGTTTTGTAAGCAACGGACGTATTTCTTCGGTGTTATATATATATATATCCGGTAATGTGTGTGTGTGTGTGTGTGTGTGTATGTATCCAGTGGGATTTGTTTCTCTTTCTCCATTAACTGTTAAATAGAAAATTAAATATTTATATACGTGAAAGCATCTACGTACCGTAACCATTATTTACTTTTTTCTTCCATTTTCCATTTGTTTGGTGATAATGGTTTCCCAAAATTAATCTCTAATTATTTGTAAAATTTCTTCTAAGCATAGTTTGCTGTTAATGTTGTATATGGGTGCCCTTTTTATGATTTCAAATTTTATTTTGATAGGGATATTTTTTTTCCACGAAGTTTTTCGAGTCAATATGTATTTTGCAAGGAAGCGACTCAGGGGTGGCACAGAGCC